ATTGACTCATATTTCTCATTCACTGAAATTCCTCCCTCCAGAGCAGCGCGGCGCTATTGGCAGCGCATGCGCAGCTCGGTGAACCGGGTAGCTATGTGGACTGATTCATCCTGTCAAAGAATGACTAAACCTCGAGCCAATAGCCTTCGAGTTTGAGATGTGACGGAGCATGTGATTTGTTGAATGTAGTGAACGAATACGCCCTTCACTGAACGAGTTTCTTTTGAGTCTGAACGAGATTGAGAGATCTTCTCGTTCGTGAGCGAAATGACCGAACTGGTACATATCTCGTTTGTAAACGAAATGAATGAGTGTGTACCTGGTCAGTCGGCCATTTAGCATGTCAATCTCGAACAGCAATCAGCAGAAAGCAGATGCAAAGCGCAGTTATAGGTACTGTGCACATACGCGTGTTTATATATTCATATTTAGCATACAGAACATAACTCCACGTTTAATCCCCGATTTATGAATGTGTAATTGTCTGACCAAACAATTAAAATGTTAATTATGCAAGAAAACCTTGTGCTTTGGTCATCTGAACAACTTATTTAGACTTTATTTAATGAGTAGATTATGCACACATTTTAATATAGCCAAATCAGTTTTTGTAACAAGTGAATACATTCGTTGACTTAAGACACAACACGTAAGACACTCTTTTTCGCCACCTGCTGGCGTATTTATGTAATATGAAGAAATGGTCACTGAACGAATCAGTGAACGAATCATTTTGGTGTACGAACTGAAAATGAACGAATCTCTTGAAAGAATCAATTTCCATCACTAGCTGCCATCAAGAGAAGCCGAGAAGCTCCTACTTCTATGTTATGTCATGCATTAAAAAAATAACTTATTAAGAACATATATATATATACATATGAACCTCATTAACTGCCCAATATCAACTTCTGAACTGAAAACAATGACAGCCATTCATGTTCATCACTTGACTATGCAACTAAAAAAAGTGACTGATTTGTTGTCATGAAGTGATTTTTGTCTTCTCATCCTCAAAACCAGTGATTCTGTGGAAAGATACTCAAGATGTAGATTAGGGATGTCAATTTCGACAAATTCTCACGATCGATCTTCGTTTAAATTAACGATCAATTAATCGATGAATCGTTAACCTTTATACTGCAAGATGCGTCTACTGCAGTAGCATAGTCATCGCATGACCAGGTGTGCAATGACACTAAAAACGCAAGCGTCCTCACACAAAGGAAAGGGTTTTTACTGTAAATAAAACGCTAGTAGGATTATCAAATTAATCGATTGATCATTTAATAGAATTATTTAATTATTCAAATATAATGACTAATCTAACACCGTCTCAGATGCGCACTCCAACTGGTGCATGCGTGCGTCCATGTCAGCAAGTTTTTGTTACTGTAAGTGTTATTTTCTTCCCAAATGTGCATAGGATATTGTGCATATTAAGGAAAATCCAGAGAATGCGAAAAAGCCCATCTCCTCGTGAATGCCCATTACGTGATAAAGGCCTATGCCATTTAGTTATTGGCCCACTTCAGCGGTCTTGAAATTGAGATTTACTTACCTCAGATGGATGACATTTTAATACTTATATATTACTTGCTCAAGAGCTAAATGTACCAGTTAAGTTAAATGATATGCTAATCTATTTCGAATAATTAACGATCTGATGATGCAGTCTACACTGGATGCAGCTCGGCGCAACGCAACACAACCCCAGACAGTAAATTGATACCCCGTTCTGTTTCTGACGCACTCAAAGCATAGTACCGGAGTAGTTCTTAATAAATTTGTTTTGGTATTAATTTAATTTTCCTCGATAATGTTAATTGAATGACAAAACAGATTGTTTTCTTTTCAAATAAAACTTTATTTTGCTGTCATTTTTCAAAAACCCATTTGACAGTTTGTACTTATAAACTTTTATTTTGTGCCCATTTACACTAAAGAAAACAAATAATTTAACACATTTGATGCATTAAAATAATCTTAATTTCCCCATTCTATCACATTTATTGTGTGAACGTTTCAACACTTTCGTTTAAATTTTTTTTTTTAAAACAACCCATGTCATTGTGTGAACTTTGCGACATTTATTTTTAATTTTACCACATTTATGGTGTAACGTAACATTTAAAGCAATAAACACTTTTTGTTGTAAACATAAAAAAATAAACATTTGATGCATTAAACGCTCAACATCAAATTTTTATTACTTCATTTTAAATGCCTAGACATTTGTGTAACTCTACAACACTTTCCTTTAAAAAAACAAATTTGCAACAATTAAAACGTATTAAGAAATCGTCTTCATTTCTACATTTTAGCACATTTAATGTTAACTGTGCAACACTTTTAGCTTTAAATATTTAAAAGAACCCATTTGAATTCTATTAACTATTTTATTTTATGTACAGCATTAATATGAATGTTTACTTTAACGCAATTATGATACAAACTTCGTGTGCACACAAAGGATACAGCACCGCATACCTGAAGTGCACATCACTGGTTTTTGTTCAAAAAGATCAGCATGTTAACAGGTTCTGGAGTTAGTCTTGTGCGAAGTTTGTTGACCGTCAGGCCAGCTGCTGAGAACACGCGTTCTGATTGGACGGATGTTCCTGGTATGCATAAATAGCCCTTTGCCATCCGAGACAACCTGGGAAACCTGGTGGCATTCGCTTTCCACCAATCTAGTGGACTTGTGTCAAGGGACAGAGGCTGTTCTCTAAGAAAGTTGTTCACTTCGCTTTCCGAGTCATTGATATCCCGTTCATTGTAATAACTTCCGAGAAGCATCCGAAGGGCTCTTTTCCCGTCATCACGTCCAGCTTGGGCCTGCTGCACACTTTGAGTAACCCCACTATTTGGATTTTCTGTATGGGGCCCAGTCAGATCTACTGCGGATGCCATTTCGTGCAGCTTTGCATTGGCAGCCAACCTCTCTGATGTGGTTAGAAAGCCTAGATGTTTGTGTCTGGCATCCAGCATCGTCGCTATCATCGATGGCTTTGATGGGAGTGCACTAGATTGAACTTAAAGTAATGAATTTAAGCGATTAGGTGGCGCATCGCCTATGAAATTATTTTGTATGGAATGGATGTTTCTCAAAACGTCTCTTACCTGCATTCGTTGCGCCAATGAGGCATGCACTTTTGCTTTGAACTCCAAAACCCGAGTGCTGTCCTCTTCGTTTCTCATAAGATGTGAATGTAAGAGGCCGTAAGTGATAGGATAGATATTTGAGATGGACACATCAGATTCGGTAGACATTACAGTCGTGGCACACTTTAACGCTGCCAACACAGGTGCCATGTCCTCCATCAGCTGCCAGTATTCATCTTTGAGCTCAAGAATTCTGGCGTCCGCTAGTTTGGTGACAGTGCGGTCAGACAGTGCGGCAGTCACTGCCCACATTTGTTCCATGAGCCGGACAAACATGTCACTGAACGAGTTCCACCTTGTCTTGCAGGACTGTATCAGGCGATGCAGTGGAAGTTTCAACTGTGCCTGTTTGTCACGGAGTGCTCTGGTAGCCACAGTACTGTGATTGAAGTGCTGAACAAGTCTTTCAGCAGCTGCGATGACCCTGTTTATGTATATGTTGAAGCCATCGTTTATGGCGAGTTGTAATGTGTGGGCAAAGCATGGCACGGAATCCCAGCTGACAAGAGTTTGATCGTTTGCTGCCACGAACTACTTTGTTTGGCCTTCCAAAAGAGGACGATATCCGCTTCATCATGCCTAGAGCTGATCCGTGCTGGTCGCTGAGGAAATACATCAACTTCGCGCTGTGGATCGCCGGATCGGCTTTCACCGTGGACGAAGTGGAGTCCAGCCCGGGGTCGTCACATGTGGTTGCCGCAAGCCCGCCGGCTTCCGCTCACTCTAGCCGCCGACCTCCGCTCACTTTAGCCGCCGGCCTCCGCTCACTCAAGCCGCCGGCCTCCGCTCACTCTAGCCCACAGAGAGTCAGGACCTCGGTTTAATGTCTCATCCGAAAGACTTCTGTGTTCTGTGTTAGCTGCGTCACACGGATACGCTGTTTCCGTTCAGATCAAATCACAACAACGTAGGAAACTGATCCGGCATGATGCAGCTGACACAGAACAGCATATGCTGTTTACAGGGTGATGCGGAGGAGACGAATTGTTGAACAACGTTTTTTTTTTTTTTTTTGCACAAAATGTATTCTCGTAGCTTCGTATAATTGCGGATGAACCACTGATGTCACATGTTAAATGAATATCTGAACATGCAATACGCCAAAATAAAGGTCAGACCCTCTACTTTCAAACAAAACAAATTTTTTTTCTAGCTTTAAGCATTGTTTTTTTTATCAACACTTGAATGTAGGTAGGTTTCATGAAAAAGCAACGTTTTGAGAAAAAAGCTGACAAAATAGCATTTTTATCAAATACTAGCCTACATCTGGATCATATTCAGTAATATTATCAAAGCAAAGATGCAGTGGATGGCTTCCATCAGCACTCCCAAAGCTTGCACAGGCCTTCCTAGATTGACATTTCACTTTGTAACATTAGGCAGTTTTCATTTATACGCGGTTAGTGTTGAATATCGCATTATTTTTCATATGCATATGCATACATATGAGATTCTGCGTCTTCCTGGTCTGTGTTTTTGATCTGCACACTCAAGACTCATTCAGGAGATGTGTGATAGCGCAGGCTGATACGCAGTGATTTTTCCAGGCTGATACGCAGGCCGGTCTTACTGGCTTCGTGGTTCATGTGAGATAAGACTTAAACTGTGCTAATGCTTGTTCACAAATGGCAATATAATTCTCATGCTGTCCACAGGAATGTTGTGCTGGAAAATAAACCTTTGGTCATGCTCTGTTTCGCAAGGCGTTTGATAACTGCCAGGTTGACGGCAGTTTGAAGGCAAAGAGTTTCTGAGATTACAAGAAACACCTTTTTCATTCGTCTTTTTTTCAGTAGACTTTGATGACTTAAACTGCTTTTGTATTTTTCTTCTAGACCTGATTGAGAAGAGTCAAGAGCTGAAGGATTTGGAAGAGAAAGATCATGATTTAAAAATTGGAGAAAAGATGGAATGTAACAGTTTTCTTATCTGCCGGCATTGTGGAAAGAGATTCAATCGAAAACAAAACCTTACGCTCCACATGAAAGTTCACACTGGAGAGAGACATTTCATCTGTAAACAGTGTGGAAAGAGTTTCACTCAAAAAGGAAACCTTAAAATTCACATGAGAATTCACACTGGAGAAAAGCCTTATACTTGCTCTCAGTGTGGACAGAGTTTTGCACATAAAGGCAACCTTAATTCCCACATGAGAACTCACAGTGAAGACAGCTTGTTCACCTGCAAACAGTGTGGAAAGAATTTCCCTCAAAAACAAAACCTGGCAGTCCACATGAGGATTCACTCTGGAGAGAAGCCTTACACTTGCACTCAATGTGGGAAGAGTTTTGCTTATAAACATACTCATAATAACCACATGAGAAGTCACACGGGAGAGAAGCTGTTCAAATGTGATCAGTGTGGAAAGAGCTTCACGACAGAACTAACCCGTAGATACCACATGACCATTCACACCGGAGAGAAACAGTTCATATGTGGTCAATGTGGAAGGAGTTTCATACATAAAGTAAGCCTTAATCGCCACATAAGGACTCACTTAGGAGAAAACTGTTTTATATGTCATCTATGTGGAAAGAGTTTTAGTCATAAATGTAGCCTGAAAATTCACATGAGAGTTCACACTGGAGAGAAGCCTTACACTTGCACTCAGTGTGGAAAGAGTTTCACTCATCAACACAACTTTAGTTACCACATGAGACTTCACTCAGGAGAGAACTGTTTCATATGTCAGCTATGTGGAAAGAGTTTTAGTGAGGAGTATAGCCTCAAAACTCACATGAGAGTTCACACTGGAGAGAACTCCTTCACCTGTAAATCTGAGTGAACGTTCACTGCTGCTGAGTGTGGGCCAAATCTGATTGTACACCTTCATACCCACTTCTCTTATTTTCATTCTTCACCTCTATCTACATTATCTTGAGGCTACATCTGACCATCTACTTTGCTGTAGTTTCAAGTAATAAGCATTTATATTTACATTTAGTCATTTAGCAGACCCTTTTATCCAAATCAACTATAACAATATTGTCTGGACCTCCACTGGGGACTTTAATTGAATACCCCTGTTATAGAGACATCATTCCATTTCATATATTGATAACTTGGAATCAAAATAGTAGTTGAACTTCGGTCATGCTGTGAAAAGCCACACTGTATAACTGAATGATAATATAAATGATGGTCATATAAATAAAATGACAAGTTGAATGAAATAAAGAACTTTACACTACATTTTCTGATTCATCTTAGTGAGAGAATGTACTGGTAATGTACTCCTCTGATGACATCTGGAAGGTACCTCCATGAAGTTGGCGCCCCATAAAAAGAAATAATCACCAAAGCTATGCCATTCGTTTGTGCTGATTTGTGCCACAAAAAACAAATGTTTGTGCTGGTTTGGTGTTTGAGATATTAAACACAATTTTTTTGACCGTGTGACGTCACTCTCCACCCCATGTTGCCCAAATCGCTCCAAAGTTAGTTTGTGTTGGGTTTGTGTCGTTAAAACAAACGCTGAATCTATTTTCCTTCCTTAGATTTAACCACAATGTTTTCGGCGAGCTGTGACGTCACTCTCCACCCCAGTTTGTCTAAATCGCACAAAACCGGTGTCATTCGTTTGTGCTCGATTAGTGCTGATTTGTGCCGTTGAAATGAACATCAAATATATTTCCCCTTCTTAGAAATAACAAACAGAATTTGAGGCAGTGACGTCACTCTCCACCCCGTGCCGTCAAAATCTCTCCAAACTGGTTTCCTGTTCATTTGTGCTTGATTTGTGCCGTTAAAAGAAACAATGTTACCATGACCTCTTCTTACTCTTCTTAAAAACTTTACTCTCCATCCCATTTAGCACGGCCACAGAGTTTTTTTCTTTTTTTTTTTCTTTTTTTTCTTTAGAGTCTAAATCCTTTCGTTTGTGCTGTTAGAAAATTAAACACTGCATTTATCAACCTAAAAAACAAATAAGGCCTATGCTTCAGGGTGCTCTTCACAACAAATGCCGCATTCATTTGTGCTCGAATTGTGGCTTGAAAAGAAATCCTGGTTGTAACTAAAATTCTGGCTGTAACTAAAATTCTTCATATGTAACAAGGAAAAGAACACGCCATTATAGGCTATATGTAGGCTAATGTAATTACATGGTATGACTGCATTTAACATCTATGCATAGCCGCGGGAACGTATGTAAACGTATTATAATAATATTAATAAGTTTAATTTCTTCATTTAATATACTGAACAAAATTATAAACGCAACACTTTTGTTTTTGCCCCCACTGTTCATGAGCTGAACTCAAAGATCTAAGACTTTTTCTATGTACACAAAAGGCCTATTTCTCTCAAATATTGTTCACAAATCTGTCTAAATCTGTGTTAGTGAGCACTTCTCCTTTGCCGAGATAATCCATCCACCTCACAGGTGTGGCATATCAAGATGCTGATTAGACAGCATGATTATTGCACAGGTGTTTCACACTGGAGAGAAGCCTTACACTTGCACTCAGTGTGGAAAGAGTTTCACTCATCAACACAACTTTAGTTACCACATGAGACTTCACTCAGGAGAGAACTGTTTCATATGTCAGCTATGTGGAAAGAGTTTTAGTGAGGAGTATAGCCTCAAAACTCACATGAGAGTTCACACTGGAGAGAACTCCTTCACCTGTAAATCTGAGTGAACGTTCACTGCTGCTGAGTGTGGGCCACATCTGATTGTATACCTTCATACCCACTTCTCTTATTTTCATTCTTCACCTCTATCTACATTATCTTGAGGCTACATCTGACCATCTACTTTGCTGTAGTTTCAAGTAATAAGCATTTATATTTATATTTACATTTAGTCATTTAGCAGACCCTTTTATCCAAATCAACTATAACAATATTGTCTGGACCTCCACTGGGGACTTTAATTGAATACCCCTGTTATAGAGACATCATTCCATTTCATATATTGATAACTTGGAATCAAAATAGTAGTTGAACTTCGGTCATGCTGTGAAAAGCCACACTGTATAACTGAATGATAATATAAATGATGGTCATATAAATAAAATGACAAGTTGAATGAAATAAAGAACTTTACACTACATTTTCTGATTCATCTTAGTGAGAGAATGTACTGGTAATGTACTCCTCTGATGACATCTGGAAGGTACCTCCATGAAGTTGGCGCCCCATAAAAAGAAATAATCACCAAAGCTATGCCATTCGTTTGTGCTGATTTGTGCCACAAAAAACAAATGTTTGTGCTGGTTTGGTGTTTGAGATATTAAACACAATTTTTTTGACCGTGTGACGTCACTCTCCACCCCATGTTGCCCAAATCGCTCCAAAGTTAGTTTGTGTTGGGTTTGTGTCGTTAAAACAAACGCTGAATCTATTTTCCTTCCTTAGATTTAACCACAATGTTTTCGGCGAGCTGTGACGTCACTCTCCACCCCAGTTTGTCTAAATCGCACAAAACCGGTGTCATTCGTTTGTGCTCGATTAGTGCTGATTTGTGCCGTTGAAATGAACATCAAATATATTTCCCCTTCTTAGAAATAACAAACAGAATTTGAGGCAGTGACGTCACTCTCCACCCCGTGCCGTCAAAATCTCTCCAAACTGGTTTCCTGTTCATTTGTGCTTGATTTGTGCCGTTAAAAGAAACAATGTTACCATGACCTCTTCTTAAATATAACGGAAACTTTACTCTCCATCCCATTTAGCACGGCCACAGAGTTTTTTTCTTTTTTTTTTTCTTTATTTTACAGTGAGTCTAAATCCTTTCGTTTGTGCTGTTAGAAAATTAAACACTGCATTTATCAACCTAAAAAACAAATAAGGCCTATGCTTCAGGGTGCTCTTCACAACAAATGCCGCATTCATTTGTGCTCGAATTGTGGCTTGAAAAGAAATCCTGGTTGTAACTAAAATTCTGGCTGTAACTAAAATTCTTCATATGTAACAAGGAAAAGAACACGCCATTATAGGCTATATGTAGGCTAATGTAATTACATGGTATGACTGCATTTAACATCTATGCATAGCCGCGGGAACGTATGTAAACGTATTATAATAATATTAATAAGTTTAATTTCTTCATTTAATATACTGAACAAAATTATAAACGCAACACTTTTGTTTTTGCCACCACTGTTCATGAGCTGAACTCAAAGATCTAAGACTTTTTCTATGTACACAAAAGGCCTATTTCTCTCAAATATTGTTCACAAATCTGTCTAAATCTGTGTTAGTGAGCACTTCTCCTTTGCCGAGATAATCCATCCACCTCACAGGTGTGGCATATCAAGATGCTGATTAGACAGCATGATTATTGCACAGGTGTGCCTTAGGCTGGCCACAATAGGTTGTTTGCACATGACGTCACTGATGACTGGGCAAAATGCAGCTGGAGGGCAGGAAGTGATTTTTCTACATAGAAATCACTAGCAGAAACTCAAAATGCCTGTGCTTTGCGTTGTTTATGGATGCCACAAGGAGCTTTTATCGTGTACGAAAATGTGTTGTTCATAAGTGGGGAAAAGTCAAGAAATTGGTTGAAAAACAGGAAAAAGTGGCTTATAAACCTGCGTCTGCGGTCGGGAGGAGCGGAGCCGGATAATGCTCGTGTGTGCAAATGGTTAATATAAGATATAATAATATATTAAGATATTAATAAAGATATAAATAGATTGGGCTGCCACCTCTCATGCATTCAGAATTCACTCAGTGCTGAACGCAACACGTAGACACGATGTAAATGAGATATTATTTGCAGTTCAGAAAGCTTCACTGATTATAAAGGAACATCGTGAGGTTGCGATAAATTGAAGTGAGTGACAGCTTTTTAGTGATTATATGGAAGCGCTATTTGCTCGCTTTCTAGGTTATAATCAGTTCAGAATTTGAATAAAAGTTTTGTTTTACGTGCTGCAAACAGGACCAACAGCCACATACCCTGTAACTTACATGCAGCAAAGTTTCAGGAGTGACAAAAAAAGCAGAACGGATCATATGGAGGAAAGTCCGTACTGTACTTTTTTTTGGCATGAGGCATTTTTGGGGCATTTTTTTTATATAGCACTTTCATTGTATTGCTGTACACCCAACGCACTTTACAATCATATGAGGGGATCTCTCTCCAACCACCACGCTATTACAAGAGAAAGGTATTTATAATCAAAACATATGTTGGACGTGATCCATATGTTATAAAGAGGAGAGATTTTTAAACTAAACTGAAATACTTGCCTGCCATTGAGGCGGTGGATATAGGCTTAGCAACTAGCCCTGATTGTAAACAAGCTATTTCGAAAGTGAATCCCGTAATTATATGAGGGATGTGGAATATGTCACTCCTGAAACTTTGCTGCATGTAAGTTACAGG